AGGGGAGCAAACATATTAAGAACAGTATGCCATATACCCCAGGTCCCTTGAAACATATGCTGTGCAGATGTTTCTTCCCTGCAGCGACTGTGTCAAGCAGCAAGAATGGACGGGCTTCCGGCACCTGGGCTCGGGCAACCACTTCACCACAGGGGCTTCCTTAAAATTGAGGGTGGATAAAATGACTTAAGGTGCACTCTTGTTTTCTTTCTTTATAAAAAAATTTGATGATTTGCCACGCAGCTTCTGAAACTTCCATTACTCACTACTCACAGTGTTCCTGCCATTCTGCGAGTTGGCCAGTAGGTGACATCTTTTTTCATTGTTGTGTTCTTTTTTAAAAAGCAATTTAAGAATATTACTCAGCACACACGGGGTTAGCTCATTGTGTTCTCTGATGTTTGGCCTGCTATGTTTAGAAACATTGCCTTCGTGTCTCTGGTGGGTCCATCAGATTTTGGTTGGTGCATGAAGTTTAAGTTTGAAAAAATCAGTTACACCAAGTACTTTATATCTGATTTCTAACAAATGAATTTCTTTCCTTTTAATACTAGCCTCTATATGTCGTCTGATTCATTCACAGATTTTAGATAGTGAACGGTGAAGTTTCATAAACTCACATTACTTCTTTGACTTCACAAAGTAAAACATGGAACCAAATAATAAATAGGTCCTTTTTAAATGGTCCAGAGGAATTATGACTCATTTCTGTCTTAAGTCCCAGGAGGACATGATTTAGTACTGTTTGTTACTATTACATGTAGTGTGTCAGGTTCCTGTTAGGTCCTGTCTGGGGGTATGTGTTCTAAAAGAATCAATCCCATATTTAAAGCTATTTTACCTACAAAGTGGACCCTTACGCTTGAACCCTGGAAATTGCATTTGCCTTAATGACGATGGTGCAGTCCTAGAAAGCCTTGTGTTTCATTTCAGGATCCATGTATTCTGCAGCACTGTGCCACTTGCCCAGCTCCCCCAAGGAGTCTTGTGATCTCTGTGGCATGCTGCTTAAATCACAGGATAATCAGCTGGGTTGTTTCTGGATTTATTGCTATGTGTGCTGTTATTATTGGTTGCTTTGTTCTACTTTTTATGTTATTGTCTTTGGGACTATAACTTACAGTGGGCTGATTTCTAGTGTGAAAGGTTCTGTGTATGCTTCATAAGTTTCACTACTTGTTAAAACTCCAAACTAGGTGGAACATCAAAAATAGCATGTGGCCGACCTGTTTACTCTGAAACTTCTCTAAGCCAGTAGATAAGCTTTCCTTTCAACTTTAGTCTCTGTCAAAACTTGGGAAAACCATAATTTTTTATTATTGGTTTAATTAGTATTATTAAAAACTAAATTAAAAATTTTTCTTTTATTATAATTAACCTAGCTGAAGTTTACAGTTATAACATTTTGATGAACCAGTATCATTATTTAATACGTATTAGGCTAAACCAAATTGTTGACATTGGCCCTTTTTTGTTTTTTTAACCTCCAAAACAGTAGTTACATATGGTTCAACCCAACTCTATTCATTGAGTGCTGGGGTGCTGTAAGAACTGGGAAGAAAGTAGCTACATTTCCTCCTTAGGAAGAGGTTATATAACTGATACTCTTTACAAAAAGATTTGTTCATGTTTCTTATGTTACCCTATTTATTACAGTGCAAACTAGTGCTGAATACTTGAGAATGAGGACAATTCGAAGAAGATTATTTTTTATTAATCATAAATTCATTGAAAAACTTTCCTGGGCATTCCAAACTAATCAAGATATTGGCAGGGCCCAAGTCTGCTCTAGAGAAGAGAGGGAGTCCTGGGGAAAGGCATGGGTGTTCTTAAGAGAAAGAGTGAGCTTACATATGTTTTGCTTTCTGAATTGTCATATGCTTGATTTCACTGACTCTATGCCCCACAGGACCAGAGCTTCGAGCTTTCCAGCCTACGCTCTTTCTTTTCCACTTGACTGAATTCAGCACCACACATTTTAGAGTGAAAACAAGACCTTTAATCTAGATGACATGTAGGTTATTAGTGAGGATAATCTGTGCTGCTTTAGCAAACCTTAAATCTAAATTTAATAGGGCTTCACATATCTCAAAAATAACAATCCAGTGTAGCTATTCTGGGTTTGGCAGTGGTGGGGCATGGGATTTAAAGCCCATTCTGCCCTTTGTAATTAGTTAGGAACCAGGGTGACAGAAGTTCCGCCACCTTTAGCTCGTGGCTTCCATTGCCACTCTAGACTTGGCTATTGCCATTCTGGCTCATGGGAAGGGAAAAGGCCTGGAGAAGGATGCAGAGTCAGATGTATGGACCAAGCCTGGAGTAGTTTACAGCATGTTTGTTTATATTCTATTGGAAGGAATAGGTCTCATGGCTTCTCTAACTGCAGTACAGGCTAGGGAAGTGGTGTAGCTGGGTATTTGCCATGGGGGAGGGCGATAAGAGATTTTGATGGACAGCGAGCAGCCTGCTGCCAGGCTTCGAGAGGTGCATGCATTTTTGTGTTCCCTGAATAAAGTAGGCCAAGTTGTGAAAGGTTTACTATTGGGATAGGTTTATCTATAAGAAAAAATACCCATGCAAGTGTAGTTTTTTAAATGCAACTCTTTAAACAAGTAGTTTGAATAAGATATGTGTGTGTTTTCAGGCTATTGCACATTATGAACAATCAGCTGATTATTACAAAGGAGAAGAATCCAACAGGCAAGTATTACTTTTCTTAACATAATTAAATGGATTTTTGTCAAGTGTGATAAAAGATAAATGTTTACTATACTCTGTTAGCGAAACGTACTGTACTGTACCAAATGAAAGTGTACTGGGATGTCACTTTATTTCTCTGTTACTTACTTTGCTCTGGTTCTTGATTTCAGTTCAGCTAACAAGTGTCTGCTAAAGGTGGCAGCATATGCTGCCCAGCTTGAGCAATACCAGAAAGCCATCGAGATCTATGAGCAGGTGAGGTTACTGCTGTCTGTTTAAATTTCCGCAGAAATTTACCTGAATCTTTTTTTTTTTTACTTTTAAATTTAATTTTCCTTTTTATTAAGACTAATTCACACATTATATAATTCACCCTTTTAAGGAGTACCATGTCTGTGGTGTTTAGTATATTCACAAAGGGTGTGTAACCATCACCATTTCCTAATTCAAAAACATTTTTATCATCTCCAAAAGAAGCCCCATTCTCTCCTCCAGTCCCTGGAAATACTATCTATTGTCTGTCTAAGAGGATTGTAGGCCTTTAATATGTATGGAATCATTCAATATGTGTGGCCTTTTGTGACTGGCTTCTTTCACTTAGTAAAATTTTTTTCAAGGTTCACTTATGCTATAACATGTATTAATTCATTCATTTTCAAAGCTGAGTAATATTCCACAGCTTATCCATTTATCAACTGATGGACACTTGGGTTATTTTCATTTAGGGGCTATTATGAATAATGTTGCTATGAACATTTATGTTCAAGTTTTTGTTGAGCATATGTTTGCAGTTCTTTTGGCTATATACTTAGTATTGGGATTGTTGGGACATGTGTCAAGTTTATTTTTAACTTTTTGAGGAACTGCCAAATTGTTTTCCACAGTTACCACACTATTTCACCATCCTATCAGCAATGTACAAGGGTTCCAGTTTTTCGCATCCTCACCAATCCTTGTTGTTTTCTGTTTGCTTGTTTGAGAACCATCCTAATGAGTGTGAAGCAGTCTCTCAATGTTTCTTTGATTTTCATTTCCCTAATGATTAGTAATGTTGAGTATCTTTTTATGTGCTTATTGGTCATTCATATATCTTCCTTGGAGAAATGTCTATTCAATTCCTTTGCCCATTTTTGAAACAGGTTATTTGTTTCTTGGTATTGAGTTTTAGATGTTCTTTATATATTCTGGATATTAATCCCTTATCAGATAAGTGATTGCAAATATTTTCTCCTGTTCTGTGGGTTGCCCTTTTACTCCATTGTTAGTGTTCTTTGATACACAAAGTTTTAAGTTTTTCTTGAGTCAAATTTTTCTTTTTTTGCCTGTGTTTTTCATGTCATATCCAAGAAATTGCCAAACCCAAGGTCATGAAGCTTTCCCCCTGTTTTATTTTAAGAGTGTTATAGTTTTAGCTCTTCATTCTATTTTGAGTTAATGTTTTGTATATGGTCTTAGTTAAGGATTCAACTACATTCTTTTTTACCTGTAGATTTTCAATGTTCCCACCACTACTTGTTCAATACACCATCCTTTTGCCATTGAATGGTCTTGGTACCCTGTTGAAAATTGACTAATATGCAAAGGTTTATTTCTGGGCTCTCTGTTTTAATCCACTGATATGTATGTCTGTCTTTATGCCAATATCACACTGTTTGATTACTGTAGCTTTGTAGTACATTTTGAAGTCGGGAAAAGTGAGAGTCTTCCAAGGAACTTAGTTTTTTTGTTTGTCCATCCGTCCGTCCTCACCCAAGGATTATTTTTCCATTGATTTTTAGAGATAGTGGAAGGGAGAGAAAGGGGAAGAGAGAGAGAAACATTGATGTGAAAGATACATTGATTAGTTGCCCTCTGCATGTGCACCCAGCCAGGGCAGGGAACGAACCTGCAATCCAGGTATGTGCCCTTGACTGGAAATCGAACCGGCAACCTTTCTTCTGTGTGCAGGACAACCTTCTAAGCACTGAGCCACACCAGTCAGGGCCAACTTCTTCTTTAAAGATTGCTTTGACTATTTGGAGTTCTTGCATTTCCATATGAGTTTTAGGATCAGCTTGTCAATCTCTGCTAAGAAACCAGCTAGAATTTTGACGGGGATTGCATTGAATCTATAGGCCAATTTGGAAAATGTCATCAAGTCTTACAGTCTGTGAACACAGGTGCCTTTCCATTTATTTAGATCTTTAATTTTGTTCAATGTTTTATCGTTTTCAGTGTGCAAGTCTTGCACTTCTTTGGTTAAACATACTCCTAAGTATTTTATTCTTTTTGATGCTATTAGAAATGGAATTATTTTCTTAATTTCCTTTTCAGATTATTAAATGCTAGTTTCATATACTGCAACCTTGCTGAATTTATTTATTAGCTCTAATTTTTGTTTTGTGGATGTTTTTATATACAAAATCATGTCATCTGCAATAGTGATAGTTTCATAACTTCTGCAATCTGAATGCCCTTTACTTCATTTTCTTTCATTTGTCCTGGCTAGAACTTCTAATATAATGTTAAATAGAAGTAGCAAGGGCAGACATCCTCACCTTGTTCCCATCTTACGAAGAAAGCTTTCAGCTTTTCACCATTAAGTATATTGATAGCTGTGGGTTTCTTAATAGATGTCCTTTATTAGTTTGAGGAAGTTCTCTTTTCTTCCTACTTTAACTGTTTTTATCATCAAAGGGTATTGGATTTTGTCAAGTGCTTTTTCTGCATCTGTTGAGAGGATCATGTGTTTTTTGTCCTTTAAGTCTACTAATATAGTATATTTCATTGATTTTTATATGTTGAACCAACCTTATATTCCTGGGACAAATCTTACTTAGTCATTGCAGCGTTTAGGGGACTCCAAGAACATCTTCAGGTTCGGTAATTCTCTAGGATTCATAGAACTCAATGAAAGCTGTTATACTCACAGTTATGTTTTATTATAAAAAGGATACAGATTAAAATCAGCTAAAGTAAGAGGTGCCTGCCATAGGGTAGGATCCAGAGTTCCAAGTGAGGAACTTTCTGTTGTCCTCCCCCTGTAGAGTTGTACAGACAGCACTTCACCTAACAATATGTGAAAGTAAGCGTAGAGTATGGACAAGAAGGGAAGCTCACTGAATGTAGTGTCTGAAGTTTTTATTGGGGCTCAGTCATGTACATGTGGTTGACTCTTATCAGGCAGGACATTCCAAGGATTTAGAAATTACCACCCAGGAGTCATGGACAAAGGCCAGACCTCACTTTAGACAAATTAATCCTTAACTGTATAGTCATGTAATCCTTTTTGTAAGTTGCCAAAATTATTTTGCTAATATTTTGTTGAGGATTTTGCATTTATATTCATAAGGGATACTGATCTTTAATTTTTTTTTCTTGTGATGTGTTTGTCTGGTTTTGGTAGCAAGGTAATACTGGCCTCATAGAATGAGTTGGGAAGTTTAAGTGTTTGGAGATTTTCCTGTTAACTTTTTGTTGTTGAATTCTAGTTTGATTCCATTGTTGCTGGAAAACACTCTATGGTTTCAATTTTTATAAATTTGTCAAGGTTGGTTTTATAGCCCAGAATATGGTCTTTCTTGGCATATGTTCTGTAGTTCTGCTGTTCCTGGGTGGCATGTTCTATGAATGTTAATTAGATTTCCTTGGTTGATGGTGTTGAGTTCTATATACTTGCTAATTTTCCTTTCTAGATCTATCCATTGATGAGCTTGGAGTATTGAAGTCTGCAACTATTATTGTGGGTTTGTGTCTCTCTCCTTTCATTTCTGTCAGTCTTTGCTTCACATATTTTGCAGCTCTGTTGCTTGCTGCATACATGTTTAGGATTGCTATGTCTTCTTGGTGGGTTGACATGTTTATCATTATACAGAGTGAGGCAAAAGTAGGTTTATAGTTGTGAGTATGCAAAACACAGAATTTATTCTTATATTACTCTTTATTAATTACTAGAGGCCCGGTGTACAAAAATTTGTGCACTCGGGGGGAAGGGGGGGGGATCCCTCAGCCCGGCCTGTGCCCTCTCGCAGTCTGGGACACCTCGGGAGATAACGACCTGCTGGCTTAGGCCTGCTCCCGGGTGGCAGAGGGCAGGCCCAGTCCCTAGGTGCTGCCCCTGGTCGGGCTCAGAGCAGGGCTGATTGGGGAGTTGGGGCGCCGCCCTGTCATGCACAGAGCAGGGCGGATTGGGAGGTTGCGATGCCACCCTCAGTCACGCTCAGGGTAGGGCCGATTGGGGGGTTGGGGCACCGCCCCCTGTCACACTCAAGGCAGGGTCGATGGGGAGGTTGCGGCGCCACCCCCTGTCACGCACAGAGCAGGGCCAATCAGGGGGTTGGGCACTGCCCCCTGTCATGCACAGAGCAGGGCCCATCAGGGGGGTTGGGGCACCACCACTGTCAC